TACATCTGGAGAAAGCTTCCAAAACCCATTTCTTAAAGTTGCTGCTGCTTTGGGAGCCTGTGTTTACATCATGGATGCCACATATAGACAGATCTGGGTTAAAGCAATCTGGTCTAAGCAGAGTGTCCTCTGAGCATTGCTTCCAGCAGAGTTTTGCCCTCCAGACGCCAGCAAGTGCCCAGCCGAAGGCTCTGATGCGGAAAGAGGACGTTTCAGATACCATTATTCCACTCATTGCCCTCCTTCAGGCCGGGGAATACCCTTTGCGTGGAGGAAGACTATTTTTTCTTTAGAGGAAGCAGAGAGAGGGATTCACCTCTCATGCTGTACATCTTCTCTTTGGGGCTAGAAGATTCTTTCCCTTTGACCAACCCAGCTGAAATCAGGCATCACTGTAGGCTGAAGAAAAAAACTCAACTGGCTTGGATACAAAGATATTGAACTCTCTCATATATTATAGTGCATAGGCATTGGTTTCCCTCATATATTGTTGGGGACTCTCAAGTTCCATCCCCTCCGCCATACCCAACCTCAAATTCTGTACAGTGTACAAAGTCTGAAATGCGCCCACTACTCTTTATCTATCTTTCTTAGGTGACATGGAAATTGCACCCCCTCTCCTTGAGCCGGATGTCCAGTCCCCCGCTGCCGGCCCGCGCAGGAGCTGCTCTGGGGGCTCCCCGAAGTCGGGACRTTCCCCGCCGGCGCGGTCTCCCGGCACCCTGCGCATTCCCTGCCCCACCCGCCGGGGCTGTGCGGGCGCTCTGTGCCCCTCTCCAGGGGCTGAGCAGCTCGTCTCCGCAGTCACCTGTAGCTAGCGCTGATTTTTCTGCATTCCTCCGAAAAATAGCTATTCTCAGCCTCGATCCCTTCCCGCGTGTTTTACTTAAGTGAGCCAAATGTCCATGTATCAGGAGCGGAGGTGGTGTCGCCTTTTTCGGAAAGATGCGGTGTTTGTTTTCGCTGTCGCCTCCCTGCGCCCCCCAGGCTGGTAGCGCGGGACCGGAGGGGTGTCGAGGGCCGGCTCGGCTGCCCCTGCCCCCGCCCCGGGGAGGAGCTCCAGCCCCAAATGAGGTACGATTTCACCTTTGGGTTCGTCTCCCCAGAGCGCCACTGGAATTACTGCCGTCCCGGTCCCCGGTGCGCCCTGGTCCCCAGCTCATGGCTCTGCTCTTCGCCGGTGGTCCCCGCTCGCTGCCCCGACGTGGAACGGCTGCGTCCCCCCTGTAAAATGAGGGGAGCGGGATCTCCGTGCGGGCGGCGGGAGCCGCTGTTACGCCTGTGGGAATTGAGCATGGAGGGAGGTGAAACAGCCACCTGAACGCGGAGAAACACCCGAACCGACAACAAGTAGTCTAGCCTGGCAGGGCGGCACGGAGAGCGGCTGGGGCCGGAGCCCGCCCGGGAACAAAAGCCACTGTCGCTGCTCCGACAAAGGTAGCGGCGGGGCGGCGGGACGAACCCGCGGGGCTGTGGGGGAGCGGGAGGGACCCGCGGCGGGGCTCATCCCACCTGCCCTTCCCCGAGCTGCGCGCTCGCCTTCGTGATTTGTCTGAGAAAGTAGCGAGCCGAGCTCCACACAGACAGCTTTTCCCAGGGTGTGACTGCTGCCTGCGCTTATGGGGTGCTTGGTAATTCTTCCCAAAAAGCAACCGTTTCCTCCCTCCCACGGTGGGGGTGGGGGGAAGAGAAAAATATCTATGCCTTCTTTTTTCCCCCTCATTAAGCTGTTAGGATAATATAAGATAGATGCCCATTAAATAATTAACCGCACACTTTCTGTTCCATCAGCTCGGTTCGCAGAGCCCCGCGAGGGAGAAGGGGGTGGGGACGGTGGCGGATCCGTACGCGGGAGAAGCAGCAGCAGTGCCATTTCAGTAGCCTGCTTCCAGGGGAAGCGGGAGACAGCCCGGAGCTSTGCCCGGAGCGGGCAGGCGGCACAGCCCGAGTGTGCGGAGCTGGCCGGCGGCGGGTRGCGGGGCGGGCCGAGCCGGGAGGGCTCTCCGCGGAGAGCGGGTCCACGGGAGATCTTAGGGATGGCGGGGTCTGGGACAGGCCGACCGCGGCGAATAGTCCTCCTACCGTGGTGCCTGGGGGGCTTCTCCTCGATTTCTTCTGTTTGCGTTTAAGGCAGAAGCTCGTCCCCCGCGGACCTGCCGGCGACCGGCTGCCCCCCGCCCAGCGACCGGCGCGCCCTCCTCCCAATCGCCGCCACCGCCTCCCGCGCTCTCCCCAGTCATGTCCCACCCGGAGCGATGGGGAAGCTCGAGGACAACGAGAGGGTGATCCTCAACGTGGGGGGCACGCGGCACGAGACCTACCGCAGCACCCTGAAGACCCTGCCGGGGACCCGCCTGGCTCTGCTCGCCTGCGAGTCCCAGAGCGAGTCCCCGGGCGGCGAGGAACCGCCGCCGCCGCCCAACCCGCCGCCGCCGCCGGCGGGAGGCTGCCCGGAGCCCGGCAGCGGCTGCAGCCCCCGGGGCAGCGGCGGCGCCAGCGAGTTTTTCTTCGACCGGCACCCGGGGGTCTTCGCCTATGTACTCAACTACTACCGCACCGGCAAGCTGCACTGCCCCGCCGACGTCTGCGGGCCGCTCTTCGAGGAGGAGCTGGCCTTCTGGGGCATCGACGAGACCGACGTGGAGCCCTGCTGCTGGATGACCTATCGCCAGCACCGCGACGCCGAGGAGGCCCTCGACATCTTCGAGGCGCCCGACCTGCTGACGGGCGAGCCGCCCCCCGACGGCGACGACGACGACCTGGCCGCCAAGAGACTGGGCATCGAGGACGTGGGGGCGGCCAACGAGGGCAAGGGCGGGCGCTGGCGGCGGCTGCAGCCCCGTGTCTGGGCTCTCTTCGAGGACCCTTACTCCTCCCGCGCCGCCAGGGTAAGCGCCGCCGGCGGCGCTCCCACCGGGGGCTGGGGAGGCCGAGGGGCGGCCGGGGGCCCCTGAGCGGGAGTCGGCATCACGGGGAAGCTCGCCCCGCTTGGGCTGTGCGCTCACAAGCTATGCTTCTGTGGGCCCCTGCCAGGTGGGACACTGGTCCACGTGGGGTGGTGATGCTTGTCCCCTCCACATCTGCAGGCAGTGTCAGGCAGCACGGGGGTCCCGCTGCACCAGCATTMTCCCTTGGGACTGTGCATGGGGTGYGGTGGGAGCTGTGCCCCRAGAAGCCTGCAAGGGAGCTGGGGTGACCCCCTGGGGCTGTGGAGGGGTGACTCACTGATGGACCTATTTGTGTGTGGGTGTGAGCAGGAACAGCCCCAGGGCACCTTCATCCTCCCTGAGCTCCTGCGTGGAGGTGCGTTGGGGCCGGGGGAGATGGCCTGAGGTCTCGCGTTTGGGGTCAGGTGGTGACGGATGACACAGGAGAGCGACCTCAGCCCTTTCTCAGCTTTGCTCTGTCTGCACTGGTAGGTGATTCGGGTTCAACAAAGTAAATATGACAGGGGGTCACCCTGGCTCTTCCTCCATTGATTTCTCAGGGTGACCCTGACTGGCTCAGGCACTGAGGGTCTGGGGACAAGACAGTAAGTGATCATAATGACTTTCTGTTATTTAGATAGGAGTTTTAGATTTTGATGCTCATGACTTTATACTTTGATGACTTGGATTTTAGTTCTATCATTTTATTGTAGTTGTCAGTGGTGATACAGGTTCACTTTCAAACCCAGGGCTTTGAAGCAAACAAATGGTTGCAATTCCTTTGAATTTGCAGTGGTATCTCCAATTTAACTAGAAGAGCAACCACCAGCAAATCCTCCCTGCAATACGRGACAGAACTTGCAATGGGAAATGTTTGATTATAAAATAGCAATGAGTATGTTGTAGCATATTTATCAGGATTTCCACAAAGTATTCAGAGCTAGAGCTCATTCTGCAAAAAGTGCAGTTATGGTTGGTGTAATCTCCTGTTCAGTTCCACTTATTTCCCTGGTAGTCTCATGGATGTGTGCATAAGTGTGTRCTTTAGTGACTTCTGGAATTGGCATGATGCAGTTTCTGCCCGCTCACCCCATGAGCTTAGTGAGGTAAGTTAAACAGAAAGTAAAAGTCATCGCAGTTGTTACTGTCACTTGCTGAGTGCCAATGTTTATGTTTTTGAAGGTTGCCTACCAGTATGCTTTTCCTTGACAGCTGGCTCCACTTGATTCTTAAAATACGTTTTTAATAAAGAATGGGTTCTGAAGAAAAGCTACCAGAAGTGTCTCTTTGCTCATCAGTGACATACCCACATCTCGCGTCTTAGCTGTCTGAATTCTAAAGAAAATTTGGCTGTCAGTTACCTGACAAACTGTAGTGTATGCAGCAATTGCCCTGCATGTTTTCTTTCACCTACTGCCTAGTGCAGAATTACTGACAGTGTCAAAACTGTGGCTTTTACGATAGAGAATCTTTCTGCTCAACTTTGCTGGAGAACTGAGAAGTGCGGAGTACGTGTTGAACGGAAGATACCAGGAGAAGTAGGAAGGTAGCATGCTGTTGCATCCTGGACTTGCAGTTGGATTTTGAGCCTAGCCTTTGACAGAACCTGTAGGCACTTCCTTTCCAAATTTTCCATCTGTAYTAGATCATCCTGAAGCAGTAAGTGGCTTGGGTAATGGTATTTCAAGTTTGCGAAATGAATACTATAATTAACAGAATAGTAGGAAATTGCAACACGGCAATATTAATATCTTATTTACATTTTTATAACTTAGAAACTGGTTTAAAATACTTTATTCTGATTTCAAACCCAGGCAGCCTGAGTAAGGCAGTGTCAGAACCATAGCAACAGCGTGTAAATCTGTATTTTCGTTTTCTAAAGATCTGTACTTGATCTTTTGGTAGAGAGACAATTTTGAGAATTTCTGGCGAGTTTTAAAGCATTAAAGTGAATTTGTATTTAAGGACTGGCATGCACTTAGTAAGCACACTTGAATTCAGTAATTTAAGGTGATGGTAACCTTAGTTTAGAACTGAGACAGTACGTTTTTCCACACCTGAAACAAGAGCTGTTACTTTCTGACTATTCTGGCAAATACACTCCTGTTTTATGTCAGCTGAGATGATGACTAACTCTAAAAACATTTGAGTGAAATCCTGGCCTTACTGAAATCAAGACAAAACTCTGTGAACATCAATCTTTGCCTCACAGTGTTAGTTACTGACTCATACACCACTTAGGTTATGGTGGGGCTTCTTAGTGGTAAACTTTCCTTRGAACTATGATCATCATTTCCTTTTAGCATTATTGATTTAGATTCACTAGTGTCTTTTTTGGGAACTACAATGCTTATAAAGATGGGATATTTTCTGTTAATGAAATGGTACTTAATATTTGTGATTTTCTWTATTCTAAACTGTGATCTCTAAAAATAGAAATTTATAGAAATTCAAATATAAGTTGCCATGGTAACCTCTTTGGGGATAGTGCACGCACAAGATTATTCTAGCAAGACCATCCAGTGATGTTATATAAATAGTGGAACTAGTTTGTTGACAAGAAGGTTTACTTTATTTGAGATGCTAAAAAAATTCTACTTTCTAGTGCAGGCAATTTGATAGATAACGACATCTGCTAAACACTGGGCTTGTAAATATAAAATGCAATCCATGTATATATGATTGCTTTGAAACCTGCAACACTTTCTTTGTTTTCCCAAGTTCCGGAGTAAGGTCTGAATGTTATTTCTGTTTTCATATTATCGTTTTGGATTTCMTAGGCTGTGAAATGAAATTAAAGAGTACAGCCTTACTCCTTCTGTTCTGTGCTTAATGGAATGATCATTCACAAAAGGCTATTTGACAGAATGCTGTTACATAGATATGAAAAGCTGCTGGCATAAGGTACTGTCATAGGCAAAGAAGTCGCTGGGCAACTGAATGTTTCAGTGTGTTTGTTTGRACACCTCTGAAACAGACACGTGATTCTTAACCTGACTAGGACATATGCACTGTTTTGCTAGTTAATATCTGTGAGTGATTTTGGTGTCCAGTGGTTCATAAGTGACAGGTGCTTGCTTTGGTAAAGTGCAAAGATACATCTAAGTAGTTCGTAAGAAAGTACGAGAGGCAATATTAAGTGCTGAGTTAAAAAAGTGTCTGCAGATGTCCAGCGGGAACTGGAATGTCAGTGCTCATCTCAGATACCATATTTCAAACTAATTACCTTTAAAGCCTTTCTACTTTTGAATAATAGTTGAAAAATGCTGTTTAAAGAGGTAATTAGTGTTTGTCATTGATTTTTCCTAAGGATTATGRGTTACTCCTGTACTGAGTGCAGGGATTCACCAAGTCTATAGCTATATACCCTTAAAGGTTTGAGAAGACTGTAAATCTCTTCATGGGTAARGAGACAGCTCCTGCCAAGTTGGGGAGTTAAGCAGTGCAGGAGTCAGCGTGGCCCAGGACACTTGAGCTGGCACTCGGGTTCACAGCAGCTGAAGGAAAATTGCACAACTCTTTTGCCAAGGATTTTATCTCTAGGAAAGATCATAATTACTTAGTTTACAAGAAAATATAAATCCTAATTAGCAAGTATTTCTCAAGTTTGCTGTAAGTAAATACTCACTGCAATGCAAATAAACCCACAAATGCCTTGCAGTCTAGGCATCAAGATACTTACATCTTGGAAGTGTTCTTAAAAATACTGATGCTGCTTCATGGTAGCATGGATAGCTGTATTTGAGCAGTGGGTGGTATTACTGAAGGGAAGTACAAAGTTCCCATCTAGTGCTTGACATGATGTTAAATTGTGAGATTCCTGTCAGCGTCCCTCTGCATATACACCAGCTTTGAATATTCGGTGAGGTGATGAATCAGCTAAAGTGAGTGAGATGGGAGAGGGGAAAAATAGAATTTTATAGATTCCCTCAAGAGACTAAAGATACAGAAATTATGTTGGAGAACATTCTTATCAGAGATAACTTACATCTTTATTTGGTGGCTTGCTTACATTTTCTCCAGGTACCTGTTTTGATACCTGTCAAGAAAGCCTTGATTTATGAAGCCTGTCATGTACTATGAATGACTGAAGTGAGTTATATTTTTAGGGCCTTGCCTGTTTTGATGCAAGACAGCTTTTATTTATGGTGGAAACAACACTGCTGCAGTAGTCTGAAATACTGTGAATGGAGTGGTGAAGGTAGATTAATCTAAGAATATATGTTTATATGTTAATCGTGAATAGCAAAGGTTTTCTTTCTTAACAAATAGGAAGCCCTTTAATACATAAGTGGAAATCTTCACTCTGTCTTTTATTCAATGAAAAAAGCAGGTATACTTTAGATTTTTCCATTCAGTTATTAGGCAGTCATCTGTTCGAAAATAGAAAAAAAAATAGCTAAGATTGATACAGAAACTTCAAAGAGGGTGTTCCTTTTGTTGGTAATCAAAGCACTGAATTTATTTGTAAATGAGAAWATAGTTAATTACATTAAATTGGTGAAAACCAATTTTTCCTGAAACATTTATACTATGGGAACTGTCTTTTTTAAAGACACATTAAGATGTGTTCCTAATGACGAAAGTCACAATACATTACTGTTACAGGTATTCATACGCTCTGTAGCTTCATGTATGCATGGCTGACTAAATCACATTGTAAGTAAGTATTATTAATTTACTTCTGGCATGCTGGCTTTTAAAAGTCTTAGTTGGAAATTCTAGCTTAAGGTATGCAACATAAACTAGCTTTATCTACCTTAAGTGTAGATGATGTGTGATGATACTGGCATATCCGTGAGGTAAAATCAGCAAGATTTCTGCCTTCCTAACTTCTGCCTCTTCCTCTACAGCTGTTCTGCCTGATGCTGCTAGTGTTTCCATGGAAACAAGCCAGCTCTTGGCTTCCTCTTCCCATTGAAAACAGCCTTCTCACTGTCACTTAYTCATCTGGGAAAAGG